AATCAATGGTGGAGTAGGATCTGGGGGTTCTGGTAGATCACAAGCTTAATAACGGCATGCAATGCCAAGCTGCGGTTTCTAAAGTGAGCAAAATACTCTCCTGTATTAAAAGAGGTATAGATTCCAGAGAGAGAGATATCCGTTCCCCGGTACAAATCATTAGTAAGACCTCATCTGGAATATGCAGTTCAGTTTTGGGCACCAATTCACAAAAAGAACATTGGGGAACTGGAGAAAGTACAGAGAAGGGCATTCAAACTGATAAGAGGCATGGAGGAGCTCAGCTATGAGGAAAGATTAGAGGAACTGAGTGTATTCTCTCTTGAGAAGAGGAGATTAAGGGGGATACATGTATAATACATAAGTGGGATATGATCTCCATGTATAATACATAAGGGGGGATATGATCTCCATGTATAATACATAAGGGGGATATGATCTCCATGTATAATACATAAGGGGGGGTATGATCTCCATGTATAATACATAAGGGGGGATATGATCTCCATATATAATACATAAGGGGGGATATGATCTCCATGTATAATACATAAGGGGGGATATGATCTCCATGTATAATACATACGGGGGGGGGATATGATCACCATGTATAATACATAAGGAGGGATATGATCAATATGTATAATACATCAATGGTTCATATAGTGAACTCGGTGTAGAGTTATGCACTGAGTCAGAGGAGAAAAAGAAAATATCCATTGAGTCAAGTGGGGTCTATGAGAGTGACGTCATCATGAATTGTGGAGCCTGAACCTGGAGTACTGGTGGTCCATTGGCTGAGAGTGGCCAAATTAACTCTAAAAGCACTGTTAGACTATTTGCTGGAATAGTGATGGTCTATGACGTCTGGTAAGCTGCTGATCTCTTCCGCACTTCTCACTCACACTGGGTGATTGTAAGATGATCTATCAGCATTGCACTTTTTCTGGAGGAGTTATCTTCTTTTTATTGGACTCACTTGGATTATCTTCTGTTTATATTTGGGATTAAACATTTGTTGTATTAGCACTATACATATTGTCCATTTCATATTTCATTTCATATTGTTCATTTCAGGCCAAATTTTCACATTTAATGGTATTTTTTAAGTATTTTTTTGTTATATGCCATTACAGGATCTATGTGTTAAATACATTTTTTGTGGAGATTTAGCACTGCACAGCTATTATTGCACTATTATTATTGTCATCAAAAAGTTACATAAAAAAAATCAGAAGGATACAATAAAATTCCAATCTTTAATAAAGACAAATCATTTTCTTTTTTTACGGGTCAAGTGATATGATGACATGATATCTCCTAGATTGTAAGCTCTAACGAGCAGGACCCTCTGTTTCCTCTTGTACCAAATTGTATTGTAACTGTAATGTCTGCCTTCATTTTGTGAAGCGCTGCGCAAACGGTTGGCGCTATATAAATCCTGTATAATAATAATAATTAATAATATGTGATAATATCGCTCAAGAAAGGTCAGGCTTGGTCTGCAATGTCACATGATGAATCAGGCACATGTGCTTCACAATTTCCTATTCACAATGCTGCCTACCTGCATGAAATGTGATTATGCTCACAATAGCTTGAAGGGCACGGCCTAGCGGCAATAAATGTGATCAGCATCACTGGGATAAGTCTTACTATAGACATGGCGGTTAAAAGTGCATAAAACATGTTAAGAAAGAAAATGATTCCACCTCTGTAAATAAACGTTACTGCCAGTGGCAGATAATGTCAACTCTGCTTCAGGCAATTATTACTCTGCCTTTAAATTTATATTCTGTATGTTATCTGTAGGTGAATCCACTCCATATTTATTTCTTTAAAAGGTAACTCCACCTTTGTGGAAATTTTTTTTTTAAAATAACAATTACTAAACAAGTCATGTTGTAAATCCACAATACTAAAAATGACCTTACCTTTTCAATCTGCAAAAATCTGTATAATTCAATGCAATATGGCAGCCTGGAGGCAATTTGTGCACAAATGGTGTATGTAAGCGCCCCCCCCCCCCACACTTTTCACAGAATTGTAATTTCCTGCTTGTGTGATTGGCTTACTGATTTTCCCAGAAGTCTGCACTAAGGCTACATTTGCATGGGCGACTAGGCTCGGTGTAAATGACAGCGCCAGGATTCTACTCACAGGTGGCATAATCAGCAGAAATTCCTGCCGCTGTCATCTGCACTGGGGCTAGTTGACAAATGTAGCCTATGATACAAGTCAGATTATAGGCACCCCCCCCCCCCTGTAATAGAAATTTCAGTTTTGATGAGATACTCCCCAGGGGTTAAGTACTTTTAAAGGGATGCAGACACTAGCCTTTCTCAATAGAACACTCAGAGTGCATGAGGTGGTTAGAATAATCTAGATCCTCCTATTTAAAATTAGTCTGCACAGGACATGGTGAATCAAACAGCTATTTCTTCAGAGCAACACAAGGTAGGATTCTGCTACAAAGTTTGTTAAAATCCCGACAATGTGCGTTGATCACCGAATGGGGCAATTTTTTTTTCTCAACAAAAATGGAGTTGCTCTTTAACCACTTGCCGCCCAGCCACTGTAGAAATACGCTGGCACGGCTGGGCAAAACCACACTTTAAAACGTGTGTTTTTAAAACAGGTAGGGGGCACGTGCGAGGCGCGCCGCCGCCCTACCTGTCCCGCCGATCACGGAGCGGATGTCAGTCGCCGGGTCACAGCCAGTCGTTACCGACTATGTCCCGGCGATTAGTGGCAATCAGTGACAGAGAGCACAGCTGCAGTAGCTGTGCTTTCTGTCAGTTCCCTGACAGCTCCAGGACACGCTGATCGGGACAGAAGAGTTTATCTGTCCCGATCAGCGGTGTTCCCTGCAGTACACACCCCTGCCCCCTAGTAAAACACTCCCCTCACACAGTTAACCCTTTCACTGAATAATAAATTTAACCCCTTCCTCCCCAGTGCCATTAGTACAGTGTCAGTGTTTTTTTTTTTTTGCACTGATCACTATTTTGGTGTCACTGGGGATGTCAGTGACCCCAAGTCAGTTCCCCCCCAGTGTCAGAATGTCCGCCGCAGTCCCGCAGTCCCGCCATAAGTCGCTGATTGCCGCCATAAGTCACTGATCGCCACCATTATTAGTATAAAAGAAAAATTTAAATCCCAGTATCTTTCCCATTTGTAAACGCTATAACTTTCACGTAAACCAATTAATTTACACGTATTGGGTTTTTTGTAGCAAAGACATGTCGCAGAATGCATTTTTGGAAGAAAAGGAGAAGAAAGAAAGGAAAGAAAGAAAGAAAAGAAAGAGAGAAAGAAAAGAAAGGAAAAGAAAGAGAAGGAAAAGAAAGAAAAGAAGCAGAAATTTATGACTAAATTTGATTTTTTTAATTTTTTTTTTACTGGACATGTTTTATAGCAAAAAGTCCAAAATATTGTTTTTTTTCCTTAAAATTGGCAGCCTTTTTTTTTTTTATAGCGCGAAAAATAAAAAACGCACAGGTGATCAAATACCACCGAAAGAAAACTCAATTTGTGGGAAAAAAAGGGATGTAAATTTCATGTATGTACCGTATTGCATGACCGCGCAATTGTCCGTTAAACTAGCGCAGCACTGTATAGCAAAAAAATGGCATAAATTGCAGTATCTATACCATAGTTTGTAGACGCTATAACTTTCACACAAAGCAATCAATATACACTTATTGGGATTTTTTTTACCAAAAACATGGAGCAGAATACATTTTGGCCTAAATTTATAACTAACTTTGAATTTACTATATATTTTTTATAGCTGAAAGTAAAAAATATAGTTATTCTTCAAAATTTTTGGTCTTTTTTTGTTTATAGCATGAAAAATAAAAAGCACACAGGTGATCAAATACCACTGAAAGAAAGCTCTATTTGTGTGAAAAAAAGGACGTAAATTTCATTTGGAAGCAGCATTGCATGACTGCGCAATTATCAGTTGAATTAGTGCAGCACCGAGTAGCAAAAAGAGGCCTGGTCATTAAGGGGGTAAATCCTCAGGAGGGCAAGTGGTTAAGAGATCCAGGATCCATTATGGCAGTATGAAGGTTTTCATATTATTCTCCACTGTAACTTAAACTAAACTTTTGCATTGCCAATGTAAAGTAGCACAGCTGAACATCTAATGTAATGTAATGATCCCCCACTGTACTGGAAATGTGATTTTGTCCTAGCCCATGTTGGAAAGATTTCCCATTGCTTCCTGCCCTGACCAAAAATGAGGGAAAATATACACTATAGAGTCAACAATGGTAATAAAAACTTGACAGAGGCTCTAACCTTTCCTCTTGCTTCCCAAAACAAAACAAAAAAGCTTTGGCCAGAGCTGGCACATTTACAGATGAAAGGAGTATTTTGCTGGTGATAAATGTAACTATAGTTACATTAACCAATTCACAAACAAAAAAATGAAAACTAAACTCCAGCTTAGACCCTTGTAAGTATGCATATTCCATACCTGTAGGATCCCTGAGGAAGCTAGATATTACTGTAGTTATGCACTACTAGAGTGATCACCACTGTCTTTTCACAATGCTGGATGACAAGAGCCACCTGCATCCGGAAAACCAAGGATGCTGGGTGACAAGAACTGCCTGCGTCCTAGCAACTAAGGATGCTGGGGAACAAGGGCCACCTGCCTCCAGGTACCGTGGATCCTGGGGGACAAGAGCTGCCTGCATCCTTGCAACCAAGGATGCTGGGCAACAAGGGCCACCTGCCTGCAGGTAACCAATGATGCTGGGCAACAAAAACTGCCTGTGCTCTTGCAACCAAGGATGCTGGGCAACAAGGTCCACCTGCCTCCAGGTAGCCAAGGATGCTGGGATACATGAGCTGCCTGTGTCCTTGCAACCAAGGATGCTGTGCAACAAGGGCCACCTGCCTCCAGGTAACTATTGATGCTGGGCGACAAAAGCTGCTTGTGTCCTTGCAACCAAGGATGCTGAGCAACAAGGGCCACCTGCCTCCAGGTAACCAATGATGCTGGGCGACAAAAGCTGCCTGTGCTCTTGCAACCAAGGATGCTGGGCAACAAGGTCCACCTGCCTCCAGGTAGCCAAGGATGCTGGGATACACGAGCTGCCTGTGTCCTTGCAACCAAGGATTCTGAGCAACAAGGGCCACCTGCCTCCAGGTAACCAAAGATGCTGGGCGACAAGAGCTGTCTGCATCCTTGCAACCAAGGATGCTGGGCAACAAGGGCCACCTGTGTCCGGGTAACCAAAGATGCTGGCGACAAGAGCCACCTGCATCCTAGCAACCTAGGATGCTAGACGTGTCCTCAATTTCCTCCTATGTGTGTACATTTAGCACAAATGTTACATGCATAACACATATGGGCTAAATTTTCTTTTGTATACAGCTGTGTGTGTGTATGAACCCTTAAGGAGACAATACCATCTTACCCATGCAGAGAAAAGCGATACTGTCCCTGCAAAGTTTCCACTCCCCCTATCTTATACTTACCTTGCCAGAGCTTTCCCACCAACCCCATCTCTGCTGTAGCTGGCAACACTGGGTATAAAGGAACATGTCACTAGACCTGAGCATTGTTTCATGATGGAGGGAGTGAGATCCCAACTCCTCCTGGTCCCTACACCACTGATTCCAAAGACAGCTGCTACTGAGAATGGAGTGGTGAGTAAGCAGAGGTAAAGTGAGTAAAGTGAGTGTATGGTTGTCAGGGGAGCTTTTCAGAGACATGGTCACTTTGCTCTGCGTAGGCAAGGAGAGAGTCTCTTTTAAAGCAAAACTCCAAGATAAAAGTAACTTACATATAGTACATATGTGTTTCCAGATTTCTTTTCTTCTTTAATCCTTAGCTGGCAGTTGGGGAGCAGGTTATCCTCTCAACCAATATGATGTTGAAGGTGCCACTGGAGTTGCTGATGATTGGTGATAATATTTCTGGCCAAGTCAATGGTCTGTCACTGATTCCTTAGATCTTCCTTGATGTGTCTGAGACACATTTCCAGAGTTGCTGCCCATTGAACCCTCCAGTAGACAGGTCACTCTTGCCAGAGGAGTTTATATGGCAGTTGACTGGTGTTCATTTTGCAAATGTAGCACCCTCCTAGATAGCTAGGGGGAGCTAGATTCCAACTTGTTAGAGGCTGAGCAGCAGCCTGTGTATCAATCATAGGGAGGTTGGAATCCGGTTAGAGCTGAGAGTCTCTGCAGACCAGCTCTCTGGGACTTCCCCCTGCTCTACAATTTTGGAGAAAATTCTAGAATCAGTGGGAGGGAGTGAGAAGTGGCTGGTCTGCACTCTTGAGGGATCCTGACTAATCCCCATCAGGGGGTTTGGCATGGGGTCAGGACAGCCCTTAAGAGTGACAGAGCCTGCTCAGCCGCAGGAAAGTTCAGGTGGAAGATGGAGAGCAGGAGCCTTGGAGGGGGACCAGATGGGAAGGGGCTCACCTACAGTCAGGGAAGCTTGGAAGGAGGAAAGCTTATGACTTCACTCGCCGCCAGAGTAAGGACCACCTATGCAGCAGGGAATCGGCCAAGCAGAAGGCCTGAGAGCAGCCACCAACCCAGCTGCTCATAGGAGAAGGACTGAGTGAGTAGACCTGTACCCTCTGGGTCAGTAAAGGGAAGGAGCATTCTGGAGGGAAATGGATTAGATACTGCACTGTCTTTTCCTAAAGTGACAGGCACTGGATCCCCTGCCCAGAGATTCACCCAGAACAGCTGGATAAGGAGTATCTAGGGTCTGGGGTGGTACTACAGGAGATACTGGCTAGCTCTACAAGAAGCAAAAGCTATTATTTTTTGCTGTTAAAGAGACTTGTACATAGTTCAAGAAGACTGTCCTCTGTTGCCATTACCCTTGGCCATCCCATACATCCCTTACCCATTCAAGTGGAATTCCCCAAATAAAATCCAAATCCACAGTAAGCAAAAGGACTGAAAAAGATGAAAGTCTGAATGGAAAATGCATGTTGCCTGGCTGTGCAAGACTATAGGGGGACCCAAATCTCTAGCAACTCCTAAGGGGGTAGTTACACAAACATGACCAAACCATAGCAGTCTGTGTTTTTGGATGTATTCTTCAACTGGAGGTTGATGGTTACAACTTGTCCAAATTGTCTAATGGAGATCACAAGGAGGGACACCCAAAATATGTCAATGGCATCTCATTTGGAAGATCTCAAGCTGATTTATGTCAGGTTTGAACAGAGTCAATGTTTCTGAATTGTACAGTAGAACTGGCAGGACCATTCTTCGAAAGAGGTGAATACTGGTTTTGGTGGAGATGTTAGCCTTCTCGCAGAGGCACCATATGAGCAAGACAAACAATTCTGTTGCCTGGTCAATCCTGCTATGGACTTCAGTGATGGCTGCCATCAGGTGACATTTTAATTTTTACCATTGATTTGTAATCATGTACGGCCAGTTTTTTTCATAATGCAAAACCAGACCAGTAAACAAATGTAGTTCTAAAAAAGGCTGAACTAAAAACAAAAACTGTTCTTTCTTCATTTTGGGTAGAGTAAGGGAGGGTTTTAACCCTCCATTTTAGCCATCTGTGTGCCATTGAAGATTTCCCTTTACTTACTGTCCTATAGAAAAAAAAAAAAAAAACAGAAAGTGAGAGGAAATCCATCAGATATGAGGGAAACGTTGGTTACCCCCAGGGTCACCGCTAGTGTTGTCCATATTGGAAGATTTCCCTTCTATGCCTGTTGTGGTGGCAACCCAACATTTGTAATTTTCTTTCACATTTGGTGATAACGGTAAACAGGACAAACAGAGACAGTGAATTTCCCTATCAGGGTCACAGTCAGCAATAAAAAAATAGAACTGAAGCAAACCGAGAGTCAATATAGCAGTTCACTCAAGTCTGGACATAGCAAACAAGAAGTCAAGGCCTGGGCTAGGACCAAGGCCTTACCATCACTGTCTGTTCAGGAAGGTCAACTATGTGGAATGGTTCAGGGCTGGAGCTTTCACCTATCTGTCCGCCAACCTTGCCTACCAACCTATCTGCCCACCACCAACCGTATTTGATGACTGAGATCCTCAAGCTAGCCCGTGACAAGAAGACCCGCATTATCCCCCAACACCTTCACCTGGCTGTCTGCAACAATGAGGAGCTCAACAAAGAGCTCGGTGGAGTTCACCATCTCCCAGGGAGGAGTCCTGACCAACATACAGGCTGTACTGCTGCCCATGAAGACCAACAGACACAAGGCCAAGTAAACCAGATGATTAATTTAAATTAAATACTACAATATGGGTGGTCTGGGCTCACCAGACAACCACTTGTAAAAGTAAAACAGACTTCATTGTTTTTCAAACATCAAGCAAGCAGCATACTTCAGCAAAATTAAACACAAACAGTCCATAATTCTGGCAGAATAAAAAAAACAACTTGATTGCTCACCTCTAGTATACAAGTCCCCCACAAGGTTTCAGGGGTCCCCTATGCTTCAGGGTGCCCCAAAGGCCACATGAGCTCAGCAAACACTGTCTTACTGGCAAGACAGTCCACACTTTCACACTGCTGTGACCTACAGTACCTCACACTCCGCCTCATAGACAGGTCCTGACTCCTTCATGTTCCTTTTTAGGCCTTCCCTGCAGGAGGGTTAGCCCTTTAAGGAGCATAGACCCTTTAATCAGAGCTGGAGGCTCTTTCCCACCCCAAGCTTCTCCAATTCTGGGTCACAAATGAGAAATTACCAATCCTGAGAGAACTGTAAGTTAGTCCTCTCCTCTTCAACGTGACAATCCTAGGACCCCTCACCCTGCTTGAGTGAGAACCCCTGAGCACTCAAAATGCTTTCAAATTGTCCCCCATAAAAAGAGATCATAACCCAAATAGATGATAAAAGTATCTCCTGGGCAGTACCAATCCTTAATGTCCTGTACAATACTTTAAACAAAGCATCTTCCCATTTCAGCCATTCAGCTTCCACCCCCCAGCCTACTTATTGGACAGTGAATTAGTATCCTTTTCTGATTACCATTGATCAGACAGCTGATCCGATTGTGAAGCCAAGCAGGATAGTGGAACATAACCAAGGATGTAGCAGAGAGATCTTACTAACCAGCAATGGTGTGCACATCCTGAGAATAGCTGGCCAAATGTGCAATGCCTTTGGCAGACAAAAATATAAAGCAGATAGCTCTTTGCCCGGAGTACCGCTTTAACGCATCTATTTCAAAGTAATAGTCTTTTTTCAGTTTTTTTATATAATGATGGAAATATAAGTTGGACTTTCCCCTTTATTTGCAGACGCCTATTCTTGAAAAAAGCCAATTCAGCACAAGTGGCCACAGAGACACCCTGAAGCGGGACTGTCGCACCTGTTATATGTGTGACTGCTGGAGTGGGCTAATGAGATCTCCTCCAAAGGCTTAATGGATTCACCCTTCAGTGATGTGGAAATACACTCGACTACACAGCTTTTCAACTTCATAAAAATACCCACTTCTATTCATAATGAGATGTAAGACCCGATGAAAGGACGCCAATAAACTGTTTTATATAAAGAAGAAGCCTCAGTCTGTGCTGACCTCCAGGCAGATATACACTCATCGGCCACTTTATTAGGTACACCTTGCTAGCACTGGGTTGGACCCCCTTTTGCCTTCAGAACTGCCTGAAATCTTTGTGGCATAGATTCAGCAAGGGTGTTGAAACCCTTCAACAGAGATTTTGGTCCATATTGACATGAGTTACTGTCAACCAGGGGCGGACTGACCATTTGGAAACTCTGGCACAGCCCGAGGACCCGGGGTCAGTAGGGGGCCCCATGGGATGCCCCTGGTACCTTTTTCATAGGCTTTTTTGAGTTTGGGCAAGGACACAGGGGCCCCCATGATCCCCTATTGCCCGGGGGCCCCATGAGTTGTCAGTCCGCCCCTGCTGTCAACAACGCATTTTCTTCCACACAACTGCCACTCACTAGATATTTTCTCTTTTTTGGACAATTTTCTGTAAACCCTAGAGATGGGTGTGTTGAAAATCCCAACAGATCAGAGGTTTTTGAAATACTCAGACCAGCCCATCAACCAACAACCATGCCAAATTCAAAGTCACTTAAATCCTCTTTCTTCTCCATTCTGA